ACGTTTTCATAACCACAAGATGTTAATCCCCGTAGAAAAATAGGGATTCTTAATATCTTCCCCGAGCCTATACAAAAGGAGTTTGTTCAAAGGAATACAGTACCTGTGCTAACTCATGAAATGCCGAGGTCAAAATTATAGTGGAAAATGTAGCGTATTTTTGGTGTCGTTATTTGTGTTTATTTAGTTGAAATAAGGACGAAAAGACCGTTTTCTGAAGGAAAGTTTGATACGGATCTGTATATTAAATAGAAAACGGGCCGGATTTAGGCGAAATCGGAGGATTCCTGATATTCAAGCAGTTTCCTACGCTATTAAAGCTTTCGGATGGAAATTCTTTGTGTTACCCGCGTGAGTCGTTAGCTGGTATTTTCAATATTAGCAAGGTCACTCTGTGGCGCATTATTAATGATAAAACTGTTCCTAGAAATAAGATAGGGGGACCAAAACGGTCCACAAGTAAGCAAGACCACGATTTTATTCGTCGTACATTAAAAAAGTTTCATTACATGCCCATTGAGACCATTCAGCGGGAACATCTGCCGATGTTTTCTATGAACATCATTAGAAAAAGGATGAAGGAATTTGAACTGCAGCGGCGAAAGGCCATGATTAAGCCATATTTAAGTAGAAAACTAATTAGAGAACGGCTTTTATTTGCTAAGAATTATATTAATTACAGATCTTCATTTTGGAAGAGCATTTTCTTCTGCGATGAGGTTCTATTTTTAGACAAGCCTACGAAATCGCTCCAAACCGTCATATGTGGAAAGAACTTCCCAAGAGAACACACTACACCGACGGCAACATTCAAGAACTGTCGGCGGATGATGGTTTGGATGGCGATTAAATTCGGTGAGCGGCCTGTGTGGCGGTCAACATCCGACACCATCAACAGCAAGGTGTTCATTGCAATTGTCAAGGATGCTTTCGGCTACAACGGCATAAGTCGGCGCCGAATGGATACTGTAATTTTGCAGGACAATGCACCTGTCCACCGCTCTAAAGAGGTACGAATTTGATGCCGCTCGCAAATATAATCTAACATTTTAGACAACCACCACGCTCTCCGCAATTGGCCTCCAATCCATTTTCATCCCGGCCAACAGTCCCGATTTGAATCCTATCGAAAATCTTTTTGGAATAGTCAAAAGAAATTGGCACAAAGCTAAGAAGACTCTTTCAATGCAAGGAAAATTGGATTTCATACTCAATAATTACATTTTACAATCCACCATAGATAACCTTGTCATGTCTATGTCGGACAGACTTTCTGCTGTTATTAATTCGAATGGACAATCTACAAAGTACTAATTTTTTGTATCTGTTTCTGTCCTTAATTATTTTTTACCTTTTATGCACCCTCCTCCTTTATACGTCCTCATAAGTAGCCTTTATTAACTTGGTTGTAATATAGGCCTTTCTCGAAAATGTGACTTTTGTCGAAAATTATTTATTTTTATCTCAGTAAATAATATTTTCTTAACCAAACTTTGCTTTATTTCTTTGACACATCGTTTATTTTCCGCTATCAGACTTTGGGAGCCGTAGTGTTTAGCGATTTTGCGTTAAAGTCGTTAACCTGTGTTAATTCGTGACATTTCATGAGTTAGCACAGGTACTGTACAATTGAAATACCGACGAAAAATTTTCTCCACCGAAGGCCAAACATCAAAACACCAGGTCATAACCTACACGCAAATTGATTGTTAGAAATGTTCGAATAGCTCCCACAAATAATTGTTTGAAAGGTATTGCCACATGTATGGTTTTGTGGTGGATTTTCTGATTCCCTCAAAGAGTGCGTTTTGCATTCCAATGGAACCGTCTAAGTGTGTATAAGAGGAGAAAGAAGGCATTTCGATGAATGTTTTTTATCAGAATGAGAACCACAATGAGAAAATGGAAGCGGGTTAAGCGAGTTACCAACAGATTATGGGGTTATGAACGATCAATACTCATATGCGCAGCTCTGAGGTTGACAGTGAATAGGAAATATCCTGTCGGCTGATGTGCGGCTAAATTGAAAAGTCCACATAGACATGCAAGTCGTAAAGAGCATCATTGGATATTTTGCACAATAAAAATTAACCCGAGAATGTTTCTCTATTAAATGTTGTGGAGCACTTCAAGGATGCCACGAAATCAATAAATGGTTCAATGCGAGATTTCAGTGGACAAACTGCAAGTTCCTATCCATTAGCCCTAGCTATCACGCGGCAGTTGCAAATGCGTGCATTGTGCAGACGGGACCTCACCTTGACCGTGACTTCGAGTTTCTCACAGATGGCACTCGGTGTCGTGCCAAAGTTAACTAAACTAAATTCCGGCGATCATGGTAGCCTCATTAGCATTCATTCCGTTGTAAGAGAGCAGTTCACGGACTTCGACCATACATTGGGGCGGTGTTTCTACCAGTTAGCGACTCGCTTGTCGCTAGCTTGCTCGGCTTTCCCATATTTACATACACTGCGGGAATGAGCCAGTATTCAGTACAATGCTAAAAGCAGTTACGACTGAAGATCCACAGCTAAATGAGCTACAGTTTCCAAGGCTTAAGCTCCATTTCCACGTCCACTTGAAAGGACTCCAGGTTTCGGCAGCGTTTTTCAACGTCCTCCTATTGGTGAGCACTGCCACCAAGTGGTCGATTTATTATGTGCACTTTGACCGTCTTTTCACTTACCTCCTGCCTTTCAGTGTGTCGGTCTTGTCTGCATAACCATCAGTATCTCCGTTACCCTGCTGGCAAATTATGTAGTGAGGGCATTCCCCTTTAATTTGGCCACAGCGTCGATCCTGCTCCTCCTTCTCGGGGTTTTCACTTCCGTGGTCAGTCTTTTCACCCCGGCTGAGCTGCGGAAGAGAAGAGGCAGGGCGGTGGGCAAGGTAGGAACACGATCATTACGTATCCCCTCAAAAAACGTTCTATTTTAGTATACTGTGGCGGTGGTGGTTATTCTGTTCTTCTTGTGTGGCATAATCGTCGGTCTCTTTCAGGGAGCCCAGCGAGTCAGTAAATGAAAAATGTTTGAAGTACCTTTAAAAACTTTAGATGCAAATGTTGGCCGAAGTCAGAATTCACCGGATTTATGACGAGAAAAACCATTCAGTCTATGCACGAACGTCTGTATTTTTGACAGAAAATCAGGTGAGTGCCTGAAATCTTCCAAAGCAAACCTGCTATATGTGTCCTTAAGTTACATTGTTGTGGCCGCGACAGATCGGATTTCTATCCAACCGACAATTTACCAATCAGTTGTTGTGCGGATCTCGCTACTAAATGTACTGCTGACAAGGCTTTTAAAATGGTAAATCTGTGATATTATGTATTTTTACTATCTACTTCTTACCATTTATTCATGAAAACTTTCGTAAAAACATACTGTTAAACGATCTACCACTGGAAACATTTCATTCCTCAAATCTAATTCGAGCTACGAAGATACTACTTCGGCTGGACAAATTCAAACTAAGGAACTGACACGCTAGACACAGACAGTTGTCTCACCGTCATTACTGATCATAAGTACGCCATATGAGGCACGAGGTATAAAAACTTGCCAGGTACGCGCGTAATCCCCACTTGTTGTGTTTGGGATCTTGCTGAATTAGACAGACAGAATGGGATTGGGCAAGACTCTAACCACAATAAGTGAGAGTAACATTCCTACTTGACAACATTCAGCCTATGTTTGGCACAGTTGGCAGGAAGTTCTCCTATCCCTTGGCACTTCGGGATTTCCAAGAATGTCTATAATTTTTTGAGACCATTGAAGATACTAATTCTTCGTTCAAAAGGATTAGCTAACATTAGTGCTCTGCAAAATCATATTGTATGAGATCGAGCCAAGCCGAAGTCGAACTGAGCGTTAAAGCAACTGTTACATGGTGAAAAGTACTCGGTGACAAAGTTTTGCATGGATCTGTGCAGCGGTGTTTGCCTCCAAACGGACTACAGTACTGTTGGGCTAGACGCAGCGGGGCCATATTGGTTTATTTCATGTGTTCTTCGAGTTGCTCGGAGACTCCGTGAGTCTTTACTTCTCGACTTGAATGTGCACAGCGCCATATCGACGAGGGCTCACGCTGTCCTTCATTGAACCCAGTTTCATCCCTGGCCGGCCTGACTTGGGACATAAGAGGAAAAGAAGAGGAGGTTAGGTGGCTTCGGTCTTCTAACAATCGTGAATTGGAATGTTGACCCTGAGGAGATAACTCGGTTCTATTAAGGATTGCGAGTCCGGCTGTGGTAGCTTCTTCTTATTGGACCTTTACGGCTCTCAGTTTCCTGAAGTCAAGGCTCCCACTTCCTCTATAGTCTTTTTCGTGTAAACTTAAGGACCAGATCGCGTGCCACGCGCGTAAACGGATTATTTGTCCTCGTAAGTCATCTAAACGGGAGTAGGCGATGTGTTGGCTTACTGCACCAATAGAAAATGTACATTTATGTTAGAAGTTTTTCCTCAGGTCAGTGACGGACCACGCCGGATGCAAGTCCCCGGATTTCGTAATTAACTAAATGGATGACTTGAACATGCGGGAAACTAGGTGAATAAAGTGAAAACAAACTGCAAAGTATTATAGACATCCACCCACTTAGGATATCTTCCTATGTTCGAAAGGAGAGCAGCCTGTCGGCGTTAGAAAATATATTGAGTAAACGACAAAATTTCCTTTTCAACCTGATAATTAGAGCCCTTTACAACTTTCCGACAGATTTCGTTACACTTAGGTCAAGGTGGTGGTCTGTATTTCATAAGTAGACGCATGTTTTCAACCTCGCCAGCAGCCAATTTTCTTCTTCAACATCTGTTATATCGCTCATCGGCATCGCCTCTGTATGTTTGAGCGCAGCCTACAAAACCAGTCTAGGTTAGCAGTGTACAAATAAATTAAACAACGGCACTAGTGGTCGAGAATTTCTTGTGTTGGTATTCTTCGTTGTAGCTTTACTGATCGGGCTTCCAGAGGAAAACCTCCAAACCATGAGCATTACAAAATTCTTCATTTTCATGGTTAAAAACATCGATTTTCATATAACCTCAGTCCATATATCTTCAAAGTCACTTGGAATGTGTGTTCATGAATCTATCCTGATTGTAGTATGGAATACAAATGATTCCGTTCTGAACTGCAGCTCTAGTTTCGGCACTTTCTTTGTCTGTAATTAATTCAAACAATTTTCTACATTTAGCAAAAAATCACAGACTTTTTTGCCTTTGACGTAAGCCAATTGGCTGATTAGAGTACAGAGCCAAACATTATATTAGAAATAAAAACCTGCCCTGCATTTACTTGGCGAAGCATTAGGCATGACAAATAACTTTCTGATCGGACTTTATGGATACTGCTTCAAAGTGTGTAGGATCAGACCAATTTTTTCTTTCATGTCCGATAAAAGTCTCAGCATAAAATATCATGCTAGGAAGGGTTAATAAATGAGAAGCCGTTATTTTAAAAGTAACAACAGCAACTACTCATCATTTCTGTTACGTTTGCCCTCCGCTGGTCATGAATGCAGCAGCCAATTCCACTGGCTTCCCCTAGTTATTTTATTAGCTACTGCTTCAAAGTTATTCAGTGATATTTGGTGAAACCCAACGATGTAGGGTCTTACCCTAGCTTATAAACGCAGACAAGCTCGAATGTGTTCAGCAGTAGTAAGATTTGGTAATTGATTTGCTTAAGAGACGACTGGAAGCTATCTTTCACGTCGAATACCTGTAACGGTGAGTTTTTTAAAGCAGCTCATTTCGAGGACTGACTGTTTTGCATTCATGGGCAGTCGCACTAATTGCCTTTAAGGATAGGTCTTGAGGCCCCAGAAAATCGGTGAAACGCGTGCTCGTATTCGGAGTGGGCTGAGACGAACATCCGTTTAAAACTCACTCTAATGCTAAATTCGTCGGTGGAAACCTACAGCTTTCCACTGACTTTAATAAAATTCAAGTAGTATGTTCCAATAAAACTTAAAGACGGGCTCGAACAACTGTGTTGTCACATTGAAACCTGGAGTTATCCCGAAAATCAAGTAGGGCACGCTAGGCGATCCTCAGTGGAACCGAATTCCCAGTGGTTGTTGTTATGTATGCAAAACAGAAGGCTAATTGGAAATAGGACGTGTACTGAGTACGATAGACAGCACAAGTGAGGAGGCTTGTGGAAACGGACGGGTATATGGCAAGGGGGACTGTCATAGGCTGATGGGTGGCCAATGAGCACAAAGACGGTGTGTACAGGGGGCCATGACCTTGATCGTTCGTTTGTCACGCGTTTGTGGCATGATGTCCTGACGGCCC